GAAAGGCCAAAACTGAATCAAACATCATCTTGACCTGTCTGGCCACCGGCTTCTACCCTAAAGACATCATTATGAATATCAGAAGAAATGGGCGTGTCCTGACCGAGGCTGACGGGCTGCAGACATCCGGGGTTCTTCCAAACGATGACGACACCTTTCAGCAAAAACTCCATGTAGAGATTCTGAAGTCTGATGTTTCCACCTACACCTGTGAGGTCAACCATCGTGGCTCTGACTTGCATGTTGAAGACAAATGGGGTAAGAGACCTTTTAGATGCACTTCTAGACCTGATTTTGTATTTAAATGGTAAATGGCCGGTACTTATATAGCGTTTTTTTCAAGTCAGGAGACTTGACCAAAGCGCTTCACACTACATTCAGTCATTCACCCATTCAAGCGAGGCTGGTGTACACTGGCGCCACCGTCAGTACCCTAGTCTGACCACCATCAGTAGACAATGCAGGTGAAGTGTCTTGCCCAATGACACAAGGACACTGAAAGTCGGAGCAGGGGCTTGAACCTTCCATCCTTTTCCATTTCAGGGAAAACCCCTACATCTGACACCACTGTTAAAATCAATGCTGTTGTTGGTTTGACCAAGATCAGTTCTCCAAATTCAACATCCAGTATATTAAATGTCTTCCCATTGTTCTGATAACCTCTAGTTAACAAAAAATACATATCACAAAAAAACAAACATTAGTAGATTAACACTAAGAAAAAAATCTTAAAAATCATCCTCCTTCTTAATTGACCATCGCCCCATACCATACCTATACTCTGACATTTTATTACTGAATGTGTAAAATGTCTACTATATATCAACAGTAATGGCAATAATATTTCATTATTTTGCGGGCTGTGGGCTTAAGAATAGCCTGAGCAAAGTAAATAATAATAATAAATTAGTCTTCTGCATTTGTCCCTAACAATCTAGAGGCAGTGACAGCCATGCCATTCTAGGGACTGACTGCAGTTCTTCTGTAAGGTGCCTGGGTCAAGTTCAATGACCGACGTACCTGACATGTAACAACCATACCATGCATAGTGCTTTAGGTCAATAGAGTATATGAATTAGGCTATGTGTGCTTCAAAAAAAAAAGATAATCCTCAATCCGCCTTTTTATTTTTTTAAACTAGACAACTGTATGTAAGTGGTGTTGGATCCTTGGATGTATATTTGAGGAGAGTCAGTGTTAACAGGCTGTTTGTGTGTTATGTAGTTCTTTGAACCTGTTTCATGCAACATAAAATGTCTCAGAAGGTAAATAAGGTCTGATCTTAAGAGAATCCTGTTAAGCAGTAAGTAGGGATGCACCGATCCAATACCTGGATCAGATATCGCCTCAAGTATAGACTAATTAGCTGGAATAAATAACACACAATGACGCTTTATAGTAATATAAGCAATAGGGCTGGGCGATAATTCAATAACGATATATATCGATCGATAGACGTGTGGCGCAATAGAAAAAAA